TGGGATTCCTAATTCATACTATAATTAGAATACTATATTGGCGTCGCGATGGAGCCTGCAATGGAAAAGTTAGATATTCATTCAACTTCAGAAGCTTTTGAAGATTACTTTGAAAGGTTCGAAATCTGGGCTATGACCAAGGAAGATGATGAGGATGTTAATATTGTGGCACACTTCCTCACATTCATTGGAAAAGAAGCATACAGCTTATTAAGAACTCTGGCTATGCCGGAAAAACCCATTTCGCTTTCTTATACAGCTCTCAAGGATCTACTGCTAGACTATGCTCAGTATACAAATTTCAAATGTCGTAAAGGAGGAAGATTTCGTAAAATGATTCATGAGGATATAAAAAAGTCCACTACATTACTACGTCATCTCAACCTAGTGCATACTCAAGGTTATGCAGACAATTCATTGAATTTGGATGCAGTTCACGAGGATGGGGACAAGTTTGGTCAGTGTTTGTCCTGTTGCAAGTTCCACTCTTCTAATTCATGTAAATTTCATAATTCTAAATGCTTCAAATGTCGTGATATTGGACAAGTTCAGTCAGTTTGTAATGCTAATGTTCATCTTACTGCAATTAATATTAAGTCTTGTAATTCTGATTCTACTGAGTCGAGTATTCATGATGATCATTTATCTTTATCAACGATTTCAAAAGACAGTGCAGAGTCATATGGCAGTTCAGAGTTAAATGAAATCCAGAATTCTTGTGAGACAACATTTCCTAATCAACCGACTTATCAGAATCCTCATGCTATTGTACCAAGTATGACTTTTCCTAATGATTCACATATTTCTAATGAAATTACTTGCAATTCTGAGGAAAATATGTTGAATGAACCTAATCATGATCGAAAACCTGATGTGGTTTGGGTAGATGCTGATTTTTCTAACGATCCTACGCTCTGCAATGACGGTCCTAATGAATTTCATGTGAATATTTCAGAAGAATCAGATCCTGATGTCATATCATATATTACCTATCCTCATAATGCATTTGATCCTTGTGAAAAACCTGCTCAATGCGAAGCACGAGTACTAAGTGACCTCGAGTTTTATTACATTTCGGATGATTTCATATCAACTGTTGTTTACCCTTATCACAAAAACAGTTCTAATGTTTACTCTAAACAATGTGAGAAATATGTTTTAAATGAAGCCACATTATTCATAACTTGGGGATATAAAGATCCAACATTATTTCGTGGGGGAGGATAGTGTTGAAAAATCTATGGTTCAAATTCTAGATATTAATGATTTCAGTACAAAACCGATATGCTGATTGTATACAATTCCAGGTGAGTCTGTTCCGATTTCGTCTGTTAATTCCAATACTAATGAGCACTTTCTAGATACTACAAAGTTTTTATCTTATACAACGTCGGACAGACTCAGGATGAACTTCACAAGAAGACGTACAACCGATTACAAACACTTATACTTCTATTTAAGCTGTGGCGGATGTGGTGTTTGAATGGACTAATGATATCTTGGTACTTGTTGAATGCTCGATTTCGAATTCTAAATACAATACATTCGTTTGTGCCTGTGTCTTCTTAGTTCAATTGCGTTAATCCTGGAATTCCTAGTTCATACGATAATTCGAATACTATAAAGACACATCTACAAACCACAAAACTAACCTTTTTAACCCGCGTCCCACCATCTTATTTTCTGTGTACCACATTCCTACATGTAGAATGAAGAACACAAATATTTATGTATAGTCGCTGAATTTTAAAAAATTCAACATTATTCGTTAAAATATCTGATTTATTTATTAAAGTAGTGACATGACAAATGACACTGTCTTTCTGTTGCGAGGAAGATGTGTAGTGGCATTGGACAATAGCCACACAATCTACAAAGCTGTGAACACGAGACTACTCAGAAAATAGATATTCAATACTTAACGCGGAGGAATACCTAACAATGGAGAAGGCGCGAACAAGGAATTGAATGGACTGGGTTTGATCGGATGGCATGGCTCGTCCATGCAGGCGTGGTCCATCTCAATGTTACTTTATATCTCCTATTCATATTAAATATATTGTTCTTTCTCTAGCCTAACCTTGTTCTACATCATGTATTGGTAATTGATACGATACAGTGAGTTGGTGTAGTCGATGGTGTGACTTCCACGTAAGATCTTATAAATTAGGCAGTTATATCATGACAAATCTACAAATTTAGGATAAGGTCTATTATTAGAGCAGTACTAATATCATAGTAGACCACAATTCTTCAGATGCACGTGTGATGTAAAATCAGCCGGGACGAGAGTAAAATGAATGTTGCAAACAGGCAAGTGGAACGAAACATGATCAAAACAGTCACGCACCGATGAGAGCGAACAATTACAGGGTTATCCATCATAAGGACGACCATCAAAAGAGCGACCATGAAAAACATGCATACCTGTTAGGGTGAATAACATTTTAGCGGCATGGAATTTGATCGATATACCGCCTATATCTTCGGCGCTACGGCTAATCCGAAAAGTAATCTCAAACATCGGACGAAGAAATAACCCTTAACAAATAGGTTAATTTTTCGAATCGGGCAACAATTCATCATTCTTATTACCATCTTCATGTTATCACCTATGTGAGTTTCGAACAGCATGGAGGGAAACGTTTTGAAGGGGTTTTGTGCGCGTTAGGTTTTCAACGGGTTTGTTGGACAAATTTAGGTGATCGAAAACGGAGGAAAATTGCAGAAAACTGTGATGATTAGAGTCATAATGATTACGTTGTATATTATGGAAAGAGGATGCATCAATAGTTATATTTTTGCACTTCACTAGGATGCGATTAAAATACATAGAGCAAAGAGATGGTCAAAATTTCAGTAGCTAGTGGCTTCATCTTGAGTGTCATTGAACTGAAAATACCTAACTGATTAAAGACTATTACATAGAATACTATTAATTTCACTGTTTTTGATGCATTTGTTCTACTCAACTTTCGAACACATATGCTTATAACTTTGAGCTCGAACATTTTGGTTACACTGTCTTTGGTCTGGCATTTTGGAAGTTTTCTTCCGGCAACCTTAAATTTGAAGGTTTGCCTTTGTCCAAGCCCTGTGATTAGTAATGCTTCACTTCCACTGCCACACATAAAAAAATGGGAATATTTTACAGAAAATTGCAGGTTGTGCTGTCATACGACTTGTTCGTTTGTTATAAAACAGCAGATGCGACACAATTATGTTCCAAACAAGGCTGTGGTAAATAAAAAAGAAGATCCGCAGGAAATGAAGTCAAGAAACCTCTTCAGCAGAGGCGAGACTTTAAATAGAGACTATCGCATATACTGTTTTGCCTTGTGAGGCATCAGAACATGAACGGTCGTCTAAAATGTTATTTCTCCTATGCATGGTTTATATGCATCCTTGGAATTAACACAACTCATAAACTTGATAAAGAAGGAGTCTTGTCCAACGAATCGAAGGCAGCCCTGATGTCAAGAAACACTACGATTGTTCCCTTTGATAAATATGACGGTGTTCTAACATTTGGCAGAGGGTGAACATGTGATCAACACATCCTCGACCAGAATGAAAACCAGCCTGCTCCTCGCGAGTCAATCTTTCTTGGGTTTTGAACAACCTACGAAGTATGACGGAAGCCAATAGCTTGGACGCAATCGGAAGTGGACTTGTCCCCCGATAGTTATTACAACAACGATGTAAACCATTTTTAAAGATAGGGACAACTATCGACTCATTCCATGACGTTGGTACACTCTCTAGTTCCCAGAACCTTGTAAACAACACAGTCAGTTCCTTAGCCAGAAAGTCATCACCATCTTTAAAAAGAGCCGGAGGTAAGTCCTCTGGGCCCGATGATTTGTAGCGCTTCAAGAGTTGGAGTTCCTTGCGGACTTCCTCCTCGTTTGGTTGATCAGTCGTCACCGGCCATGGGGGGCAGGACAGTCTGAACGATGTTGCCGGAGCAGCAGGCCAGTTGAACTGCCCTTCGAAAAATTCTGCCCACCGTCCAAGACGTCGATGGATGTTGGTGATTGGCATCCCATCATCCTCGCAGATTGTTTCACTCACACCAGACTTCTTGCTGCCAGTGGCTCGGATGAGTTGAAAACACGTAACATTAGCACCTTCGATTAATATATTCAGAATGAGACTGGATCTCTACAGACTGTAAAGATTAATATAGGTCAGTAGACCTAACCTTGCTACCGAAGACTGACCTTGAGGTAAGATATCTTCAACCGTTTGAAGCATTGAACTTACCTAGCGGCTAAGGTAAAATACGCTCCACTTTTAGTAAGAGTTTGTGTTCGGTAGCTTCATATCGTTTCGTTTCTATTCATTAGAGAGCATTTAAACATATATTTTAAACGTTCACATTGTTCATCTCATAAAAAAGTTTAACAAGTGACACTTTGCAGGTTAACCCGCCACCTATTACAATTGCAATCAAATGATAGTGATTTGCAATTACGAATTTCTTTATGGCTACAATCACTTGGTTATTGGAAACTTATTGGGGTGATATAGTTGTATGTTCTGTTACATGAACTTCTCGACACACTACCCTCAACATCTTAATCTTGTATATACTTACTTGCAAGAAAGTAACCGTTAACGGTTGGTCTTATTTATCAACTGCTTAATAGCTCTCTTACATAACCATTTGGGACTTTAGATGGCACTTTGTAACTACCTCATATTCATTTGAACGAACTTAGAAATACTATCAGGGCCAGTGTAGACACTTCAGCTTTTAGTTCTGCCCAAGACTGGGGCAGATAATATTATTATTACGTAAATTGACAAATACCAACAGATTTTGTAGTTTGGATTTACTTGAGATGGCCAGGGTTTACATAAGATCATGGTCGTTTGCGTTTTGTTTTCAGATTCACAGTATATTAACAAATCGTTATGTGTCGAGTGGCATTCACTTACAAGCGAAAATGGAAATCATCTTGTCACCAGTGAATTTTATTCATTCATAAACACTGATGGAGAAAAGTGTAAACTTCTTGTTGAACAAGAAAGGTACTTTTCAATATTTTCAAATTAAATGGCATCTTTAGAAAAAGATCAATCATCAAATAAAACGAATGTAATGAATGAATCGTTAAGTCAGAAAGGTACTTAAGTACTTTGAATTCCTAATTCTGTGCTAATGTAGTGACTGAAACCACTTCTGACCTACTTATTTCACTTGCAAATGAACCTTCATTGGCTTATTTCCATATTCAAGAACATATTAGAAAATCAGTTCCAGAAATTTTGAAATACCAAGTTGAAAATTTCTTATGTTTTTGTAATATTCTTTATATGTAGTTGAAAGTCGAACAATTAGATTCACAATTACGTGGTTCTTGTTATGATCTTGACTATGCACTTGAGTAAGTCTTGTATCTTTAAATACCTACTTTTAACAACTATAAACCGAAATGTTAGAATAATGGTCCAAAAGTCCGTGGCAAATATTCAAATTGTCTTCGTAATTATCCAGAGAAACTCAGAAATTACAAGTTATTAAGCGATACAAATACACATCGTTCATGGTCGTTACATCTTATGTCAATGTGGTAAAAGGAGATAAATAATTAGTAGCTATGAAAGTAAAACCTCTCAACTAGTCAATTTACTTCTGTAGATGGTAATACATCTATCTACCACAGTTCACAACTATTCTTCCCGATTATTTATTACACTATAGTTTAAAACCTCATTGACTAACGTCCTCTCCTTACTTAAACTATGATGCCTGACAACAATACTTACTTCTTGGTCCCACCACACTATAAATGCCATAATGGAACTCATTATTGATACTTGCATTCTACACATGTTTGTCAATGCGGCATGAATCAGTTTGTACTGTGTGCTCTCTTTACTCAAGTCGGATAACTCCATAATGATCATGAGTAGACAAATGTCAAACAAGTTTCCCTTGTCCTTATTTAGATTTCAACTGTGAACGGTACATAAAGTCTAATGCAACTCTAAATACCTAAAGTAGTTTTTATTATATTTGTGTGGTGTTAATAGGGTTTTTTTCTGGTAAGCGTTTTTTTAGCGAGTTAGTTTTCTACGGGATGGGGACGCTAACCCCATGCCCAACCCTCCTCCTTTACCCGGGCTTGGGACCAGCAGTAACTCTAGAAGAGCTACAGGCGGAGCGGCCTATGCTCCTTCACGAGGAGTAACAGGCGTAAGTAAGTAAGTAAGTAATAGGGTTTTAAAAGTGTATATCACAGTTAATATCAGAAACTTAATTTTTTTACAAATCGCTCAAGATGATATAATTTACTGTTATTTAACTCTTTTTTCTGCCATCATATATGTATTTAGTAATGTTAGAAGTATCTCAAAAGCTACAGTACATTTTAACCGGATTAACGAGCTCTTGAAGTCGAGCTTATTTGCTAAACTTCAGTTGGATTATGCACGCATGAACGCGTAAGTCCCTAGTTTTGCATATAACACACTCAAAATATTACTGCTCTATATAGTTATGATTCTATTATTTCTTGGAATTCATTGAATGAATATAACTTATCTCACTATCGAAGGGAACTACGGTGACAACTAGCTTTTTTGTGCCTAACGCATAACGTATGGTACACTTGTTGACAAGTGGTTTAGATTAGACTGTCGAGCTACGCATGGAGATGTCACCTACGACCCTATTGGAAATTGCGACTTTTCTGAGAAAGTGCTATGCGATGATCCAACGCAACATATAGACTCAGTCACAAACCATAACTACTATACGGTAGCTTGTGATGTAACTCAGCTAACAATAACATTTCAGTGGATACGCTTTCAAGTGATGACTATCTCTTGGTTAGGACTTAGGTGTTTAGTCCATAACTCATAATTAAAAAATAACCAACATGTTTCGCATAATACAATACTTTGGAAGATTTCGGAACGTAAAATGTGCAACTATTGCTCTTCCAGTTAGTAAGACAGTTATGTGAAGCGGAACACTAATTCCAACCCCTTCAGAAGTAAGTTCTGGAAACTCAATATGAACCACCAATTCATTACAAAGTAAGTCCAAAAAGTGTATGATTCACATCGATTTTGAAAAGAATTACTCGTATACATTCTCAATGGTTTCTATTCGATTTATTATTTGCAGTCCACCAGTTGAAGTAGGCATCGATCTTGTCTCGTGGGATCTAAATGATGAAGAACTGTTAAGGTATTACACTTGTATCTATACGATTACCAGCAATGGTAAATATGCAACAGAATGCTTTATTTTAATTCGCTAATCTTAGTTTGCTTCAAAATTACATGTGTACGGATGCAGTGCTTAATCTTAATACATTGTTTGTTTGCAAGTTTTTGATTCATTTTTGTGTGATTTAACACGGTGGTTGTGTTTTCTGTCAGAGATTTCTTTTCAGGATTATTGCACTTACATGTCACTATTCTATGCTTTCTTGCTGGTCTGTTCGGATTTGTGTTTAGTAAATAAAGTTAATTTTCCCTGTTTGAAATCCTCTTGTAGTTTAAGTCATAAAGAGCCACAAAAACGAAGACCAACTCAATGCAACCAAGATGTACACACTGACGTTTCTTTCCAAAACAAATGCACAGAGATCCCTACAAACTCACGAACACTAAGCCACATATCCAGCACAGTGTCGACAGCAGCTGTACAAGTACGTGATCAAGCTATCAATTTAACCAGGAGAGTTTTGTGGACACAAAGTGCCGATATATCTTACTCTATCATCTCACCCATTTTATCTGATTCTAAAATCACTAACTCCTCGAGTTCATTTGATGAGAAACCAAAGTTTTTGGAAGCCTAATTTAACAAACGAATCCTAGTAAGGGAATAAGCTCTGTAAATGAGTAGCTGAAACTGTTTTATAAGCAGCTACTTCTTATAATTACTGACAATTTTGCACATTGTACTATACAAATACAATATTCTTATACCTATGGTTACATTTCTTTTAAATATAGTCATCGAGCTGTTGTATAAATAGCGTAGGTGTCAAGACATTTACTAGGATGTAAAGTGATAAGTTTATTTGGTTGACGACTACTTAACTACATACTTTCCAAACACATACGTAAATAGATACTATTGTGAGCTTCACGTTTTACAACAATTAGCGAAACAGGCAAAAACAAGTATATATTATGATAAAAACTACGAGTAACAGTTTAAAACAAAAAGTATGTACATATGAAAGAACTACGGTACAGTAAAATCAAGCAATTACAAGCGACGAAGAGAAGATTTCAGTAACCGGGCTCGAGCTCTTGGACTGCGAGTTGGGGATGCCCGAGGTTGAATGGGAGACAATCTGAACAAGATAAGGTATTGTATGAGTTTTCGACAGTTCAACATTGTGAGAGTAACAACTAAATTTCGAAATCAATCATTTTAACTGGTTAAATCAGTATTCATATGGCGAATGGCAGGTTTAAAAGTTTATGATTAGCTAATGGACTCTGGGAACACTTATTATGTACCTCGTCATAGTATCTTACGTTTTGATACCTGAGAAACTTATTCAAGGTTAATGAGAGTTTGCAAGCAAAGGGAATTTTGCACATTATAGTCCTCGGGACAAGTCTTAAATGAAATAACCGGTAGCAGCGTATTTAACCTACTCGTGTCTAAACTAGCTGCTGTTATTAAAATCATTCACACGTTCTTTCAACTAGTCTTGAGCCATATTTGTTGGTTAGGGGGTTGAGGTACTTACTACTTGGTGAGTCATAGGTGGGTTGGCTCTGGTTAGAAAACGAGCGTGCAGGTCGTCCATGTGATACTTTTGACTATAAAAAATAGCTGTTTCATGCCGAAGTCAGATTTCGTTCACAAATAACATAACATTTTATGTCAGATCTAGTCATGCACGTTATATCAAGTTTTATAGAGGCAGTGTCGTCAGTTAGTAAGGAGCTTAATTAGTGGAATGACAGTAGCATTGCCAAGTTTACGTTAAGCTGCTTCTGGGATTTAAGTGGCGATGAGTTTTTGCTAATTCAACATAAAAACCACTTTGAACAAACAGACTAGTGTTTTAATTGTTACATGTCCCCCTTGTGTGATTTTTCTGTCAGTGGGACGTTAGCATATACAAGTTTTTCATGAATTCAGATCCTGAATCAGAACTTGCTTCTTATTGACTACATATCTGAGTACACTTGAACACGTGGTTTTATACTCAATACTAATATATATATTTGGAACATCAAACCTGGAATCCGTGACTTTTTATTTAAACATAAACACTCCTTTGTCCGTACATATTCATATTATTATCTAGTTTAAGGAACATTTTCAAAATGTATCGTCATGGCACTACTGTACACTAACTTAAAGAATAGCTACAGACACTTGATATTGTGCCAAAGTGACGATAAATTTTGAGACCTCGAAATACAAACAAATTGAAATAATTTCTGGAGAAAATCAGACGTACAATACAAAGAACCATACCTGTATACTGGCGAGTTTGGTGTCATTTGACATTTATCACTCGGTGAGTGCTCCCGCTGACAATTATAACAAACAGAGACACCACAGTCCAAAGCCTGACAATGCAAACGATTCGGCCATTCGTTAGGTCTATAAAACGCCACTCCAGAGCATACGGGACATGGATGCAAAAACTCCTTTGTGATAATAAGAGATTTAATGAAGAAAGTCGTAAATAGAAAATAAAAGGCTCACCAGAAATTAAAAAGTCACGTGGATTTAGAAATGGTTTTTGTGAGTAGCAATGCCAATGATTTAAAATGGCAAATTGGCCGATTTTGGCTACGTTGGTTCCCATGAATGTGGTCTGAATAGTAAATTAACTTTCTAAACAAACATTTGATAAATAAAATCACCCTACTATCCTAAAACAAATATTCCAAATTACAATGGGAGTATAGACATCATTACCCGCTAAACTTTGGTAGCAATTAAGCATTTTTAAAACTAAGAACAAGCGTACAAAGTGAAAATTACAAAGCTTAGTGATCAAGTAGTAATAAATTCTGTGTAATTAGTAGTCTGTAGTGCTTGTGACACAACCCGGTGTGGTAACGACCTAATTAAACTGGCATTCAGTTCAAGAATCTAACTCAGAGGGGAATTGGTTTAAGTCACGAGTTTCATTTTTATTAGTAAATAACCCTCTTTGAAGAACAGTACAACTATTATTGTCTAAAAGCATATGATATATTGGCTTGGGACCAGGTGTTTCCACTACAATTATTTAATACCACCTACCCCATAGTGGTAGACTTGGAATGAAACATGCAGTTAACATGTATAACTTTTGCCTTTTGCCAATTAAACTAGAATGTTGGATCCTAATGTTGCCAAGAGCTTCTGATTGTCCAAATATATAATGCAAATTTCATGACATTTACAATGCACCATTGTACAGGGGAGATCCCCTCTGCTAGCCTTATTGAAGATAAAAATCAATGATGGACCGTGGTTTAGTGAACCCATTGAGAGTGTCTAAACACATGCTTTCTGAACTGACTGACTTATCAGAAATTTACACCATATTTAGGGAATTTGCAAACTTCATTACCTTAGTATCAAACTTATCAACTCTATTCTTAATTGTACAGGAATTGGGACAGTTGATCGCACTCAACGGTTTACGGCTGGTTGTTGATTTTTGTGAACCCTTGGCCGAATTCTCCTAAATCCAGGTTTATAAATCATGTGCAACGTACCTTTAATATCACCTCATGCTTTCTACTAGCGGTAAACAGCCGTGGAAAGCGCAATTTCAACGAATACCAAGACTTACAAACACTGAGTACTGTAAGACGGTCAGAAATAGTCAGGTAACGAAGAACTTTCAGAAGTATATATTCCGATTTCTCAAAAGACATCAGGGCAGACAATATATCAACACGCCGCTTACCCCGTAAACTGAACAGTGAGCGAAGAAAGTGGGGCAACTCACGAATTTCTAATGCCGGTACGTCCATGAACTTCTATACTTTCAGGGAAAATATCTTTCTCTGAGGTGCGGCCCGGACTAAGGAAAGTCGAAGAACGAGTACCATAACCAGTATCCTGCGAACAATCTGGAATTGATATGGATTCACGTTTAACGCGATATGGCGTCGAAGTATTTTGTAGCAGCGGAAAGCTGCTTTTCTCTTGATATTTATGGAACATCCAATCAAAATGTTAACCAGTTTTGAAAAGGGATATTTCCAAAAACGCGCCGTCACCTTGCGTACGAAATTTCGGTACAGAAAAACTCTTACAATTAAATTATACGTAATCATAGTGAAAATATCATGATATTTATTCACTGATTTTCGAGCAATCAAGTTTAAGAGATATCATGTATATCAACATTGTGATTCATTCATTCATTATTTCACTTTTCTGGTGATGAGCAGTTTCACTCCACTTCCAGTTACACACTACTTACATCTCTCTGAATGAGTAGTGCATCCTATAGTACGGGATTAGCCTAAAAATATATTAGATTCACAAAGGGATAACAGGTGAAAGGTAATACTACTTCCGAAATTAATTTTGTTAAAATAAACATAGTAGCCTGAGAGTGCCAAAGAGATAAGCAAGGTAGCATCCCACTGTGTTTTACAAATGCCATCCAGTAGTAGTTTTTTGAGCCGATGATTTTATTAGCATGTTCATACAATAGTGTAACAACTCTCAAGTTATAATTTTCTGTTAGAGAATATTTTCCCAAAGAACTAAAGAAGTTGGACCGTTAAACGTTGAGGTGATATAAAGTATCGCCCTTCTCAGCCAGATTAACTTTGTAAATGCAGTACTCGGAGGTTTCGCCTTCTCATTCACTGTTTGCAAAGCGATGTAGTAGTGTTATAGTCTGGAATCTTTAAATTAGAGAGGTGATAAACGATAAATTTTCAAGTACAATGGTTTTCTGTCAAACGTGGATTACCACTGTTCACCGATGGTGATCTTTTATCGGACGACTTCAGTGACTATATAATATCAGCTGCGACACTATAAAGCATTACCTCATGTGGTACTCTAGTTACTCGTTCAGATTTTCATTTTGCAGATAGCCAACCATGCACTGGTTTAGAGTTCTTTTCCAAAATTTTAGGCAGCGTGACCTCCGAATTACTTGCGTCCGTTTTCAGTGTTTGCTGTATGTGTCATCAGAAACTGATATCCTGTGGTGTTTGAATGAACCAATGATACCTTTGTACTGCTTGAATACTTGATTTCGAATTCTAAATACAATACATTCGTTTGTGCCTGTGTCTTCTTAGTTCAATTGCGTTAATCCTGGAATTCCTAGTTCATACTATAATTAGAATATTATATTGGCGTCGCGATGGAACCTGCAATGGAAAAGTTGGATATTCATTCAACTCCTGAAGCTATTGAGGATTATTTGGAAAGGTTCGAAATTTGGAGCATGACCAAGAAAGATGTTAAAGGTGAGAAAATTGTGGCATATTTTCTGACATTCATTGGGAGAGAAGTGTACAGCTTATTAAAAACTTTGGCATATCCAGAAAAACCTATCTCACTGCCTTATGCAACTCTTAAAGAGCTATTGTTAAGTCATGTAAAATGCACCAGTTTTGAATGCCGTGAAAGGGCGAAGTTTCATAAGATGGTTCGTCAAAATGACCAAAAGGTTCGGGAATTCATCCTTGAATTACAGAAACAAGCTGCCAAGTGTAATTTCGGTGATCAACTTCATGTGCAATTGATAGATCGATTAATTGCAGGAATTAACATACCGAGTTTGGAAAGAGAGCTGTTAAGAATGCCAAACTGTTCCTTTCAAGATGCTAGAACTGCATGTATTAACTACGAAGCAGTCAATGAACTTGATATCCAGTCGATGAATATTTCTAATACTTTGCTTAGTCGTCGTGATGAACTACAATCTCAGGGTCAATCAAACTTGCGTTCATTTAACAGTGATTCCTATTCTCGTGTAAATATGAAAGGTGTTTCAACGAGGAATTACAAAGCAAATCACAAAGGTGAGATGAAGTTTGGTAAATGTTTATCATGTGGAAAGTTTCATGCTCGCAATTCATGTGTATTTCGTAATGCTAAATGTTTTAAATGTGGTAAGGTAGGACACATTCAGTCAGTATGCAAAGCTACTGTCCATTTTGCTTCGAGCTGTACTAAATCTTGTAATTTAAATTTCAATAATTCGGATGTTTCTAGTGATCATTTGTCTTTATCCACTATTTCGAAAGGTAATGTTCATATTCAGAAGCGATTATATACATCGCTTGGTTCATTTCATGACTTTATTCTGGACACAGGCAGTATAGAGTCCATTATTTCATTCAAGAACTTGAAAGCTTTAGATCCTAACGTTGTTGTACGACCCACTGAAGTATCAATACTGGGGATTACTGGACACAGACTGCCCATACGAGGATGTTGTGAATTGCTAATCAGAGATGATAATTCTTCATACATACCTTGTGAATTTTTAGTTAGCGAAACAGGACTGTCAATATTGGGTTTAAAGAATTTGAAAAGGCTTAAGGTGGAGTTGTCCTTCTTAGTTTCTAAAGAAAATTCTGATACTTTACTTAAAGATTTGATAGCTATGTGTGCTAAATGCAGTGGAGGTATGAAAATTAAGCCTATAAAACTTCAAGTACAGGGTGATCCCGTCTTTCTTAAAAGACGAATAATTCCTTATGGTCTTCGAGAAGCAGTACATAAGACATTAAACGATTTGTGTGTGAAAGGCATAATTGAACCAATCCAGTCTTCAGCATGGGGTACTCCTATCGTTACGCCACTGAAGTCGGACGGCAAGACCCCTAGAATTTGCGGTGACTATAGATTAACTCTGAACTCCCGTTTGTTGAAGCAAACGTGCACGACGGTAGAAGCTGAAGATATTCTAAATCGACTTCATGGTTCTAAAGTGTTCTCGAAAGTTGACCTAAAAGATGCTTATCTTCAAATTCCTTTAGATGAATCTTCATCTATTTTGACGACAATTAACACTCCTTTTGGTCTGTTCAAATACAATTTCCTTCCATTTGGTGTAAGTTGTTCTCCAGCCATATTTCAGAAGTTATGAATACAGTAGTTAGTGATCTTGAAGGTGTTGAAGTTTATCAAGATGATCTCATTGTTCATGGCTCTAATAAGGTGGTTCATGACCAGAGACTTATTGCTTTATTGCGACGTTTAATTGAGAAGAATATAACAGTGAATCCAAATAAGTGTTCATTTTGTGTATCTAGTTTTGAATGCCTTGGATACCTAGTTGATGGTAACGGTTTTAGACCAGATATGAAACGACTAGCTCCACTGACTAATGCACCGTCTCCGAAAAATCTTACAGAATTACGTTCACTAGTGGGTGCTCTTCAATACTATTCCCGTTTTATTCCTAATTTTTCTTGTCGTGCAAATTGTTTATTTAATATTTTAACATCCAATTCATTCAAATGGAGTGAGGAACAAGAGTCATGCTTACGAAGTCTGCTGAAGTTTCTTCAAAGTGATGCTGTTCTTCGAACGTACTCCCCTAATGTACATTCTGTGCTTATTACTGATGCATCACCTGTGGGAATTGGTGCAGTTTTGGAACAGGAAGGTAGACCAGTTATTTGTGTTTCACGCAAACTTACTGTTACTGAACAAGGTTATTCACAGACTCAGCGAGAAGCATTAGCTGTGTTTTGGGCTGTTAAAAGACTTCATAAATATTTATTCGGAAAGAAATTCACTATTGTTACTGATCATGAAGCTTTAAAGTTTATTTATCATCCCGGAAAATCCTTAGCACGTTCCTCAGCAGCTATGGTTCAGCGATGGAGTATTGCTTTGAGTGCATATGACTATACGGTTCAGCACAGAAGTGCCAAACAGATTCAACATGTTGATTACATTTCTCGACAGTCATTACAAGATAAACCTATTAATACTTCGGACTGTTTGTTAGTGCAACCTTTACCAGTGAGACGTTCAGATCTCATTAGAGAAACTCGTAGATATTTTGGATGTATACTCAGTGCTATAAGGAAAGGTTGGAATGCTAATTTGAAACGGAGATTTCCTATCTATTTTTCAAAGCGGGATGAGTTATCTACTACTCCTGATGGTATTCTGTGTTTAAACGATCGTGTTGTCATTCCTCCTTCATTGCGTAAATCTGTTCTTGAAGATCTTCATAGTGGTCATTTAGGTGTTGAGAAAATGAAGTCCTTGGCAAGGCTCACATGCTGGTGGCCAGAGATAAATGCAGATATATGTCGTACGGCAAACAGTTGTGAGAAATGTCATCAGTTGAAAAACCATCCTTCGAAGTGGGTGCCATGGCCAGTATCGTCTGAGGCCTGGCAGAGGATTCATGCTGACTATTGTGGACCATTTCTTGGTAAATACTACGCACTAGTAGTCATTGATTCTTTTTCAAAGTGGCCTGAAGTTTTTTTCACAATTTCACCGAATTCTGATTTCACAATACAAGCATTAAGAAAGGTGTTTAGTCGAGAAGGTGTTCCCTTGGTGTTGGTGACTGATAATGGCTCACATTTTGCTGCAGATGCAGTCACTACCTGGTTGAACGGTATAGGGTGCAAACATCTATTTACTGCTCCCAGACATCCGTGTTCTAATGGTCAGGCAGAGAATTTTGTTAGGACATTAAAGACTGCTATTGATTCTATAGCCCCCTCAACATTTAATGAGCTGGAGAGGGGAGTAGATACCTTTCTATTGCAATATAGAAATGCCAAACATTCGGTGACGAAGGAGACTCCAGCGAAGCTATTGAAAGGAAGAATTCTTCGGTCGAATATGAGATGTCTGGAGTCTGCAGAGGTTACATACTATCGAGGAGATGATCTTCGACCATCTACGGGTATTGTTCTGAAGAATGTCGGAAAATCGATGGTGCGAATTCTAGACATCGATGACTTAAGTACACACAGCCGACATGTAGATCAAATACAATTTCAGGAACCAGGTGAGTCAGTTCCAATTTCGATTGTTAATTCTAATGCTAATGAGCATATTCTAGATAATACAGAATCCTTATCCAATACAATGTCAGACAGACTCAGGATGAATTTGAGAAGAAGACGTACGATTGATTATAAACACCTAGACTCCAATTTAAGCTGTGGCGGATGTGGTGTTTGAATGAACCAATGATACCTTTGTACTGCTTGAATACTTGATTTCGAATTCTAAATACAATACATTCGTTTGTGCCTGTGTCTTCTTAGTT